TGATTTCATCTTTAGTAGTGGAAAACTTTTGTTTGAGATCTAAGACAATCTGATCCAAATGAGAATATATGAAACTTCCAGATCTGGATCCAAATGTTTTGATTTTTGAGAGGCAGGATATTCAGATCCGACTTGTATCTACTTCTAATTTAATTTTCTTAATATATATATATATATATATATATATATATATATATATATATATATATATATATATATATATATATATATATATATATTATTTATTATTTATTTTAATTTGTAAATGAATATAAAACATTTATAAAAAGGAATGAAATTATATAGGGTTTTTGACTCCTATATATAATTTTTGTAATGGCTACCAAAATTTTATAATCACATAATTATTGTGTGACACACAATCTATGACTTTTTCTTTCGACCTAGCCGTCATCCTCCAGCAGGGTAAAAGAATAATGAAGAGGAGATCCGAGGAAAGAAGACGACGACGACCAAGAGACATACGCAACTGCCACGAACCGACGCCGGAGATTCCTATCGATCTCTTGATAGAGATTCTAACAAGACTTTCAGCTAAATCCCTTATGAAGTTCAAATCCATCTCAAAGCTCTGGTCATCCTTGATATGTTCCCGAAGTTTCACCAACAGTTTCCTAAGGGTTACATCATCCTCTCCTCGTCTATACATGAGTTTAGGCTTCTTTGGCAAATGCCACCTTAAAAATATGTTACTATCATCGTCTCTTGATTCGGACTGTACCACTACGTCTTCCTTTGATGCCGACCAAGACTTGACCGTCCCAGCAATGAGAGGCTACGTCTCTAACGTTTTCCGCGGCTTGTTATGCTTTATAAATGGGCCAAGTGTGCAAATATATAACACTACCACTAGGCAACTTGTAGTCTTACCCGACATAGAAGAATCCAATATCATACATGAAGCTCAGACTATCATGTGCCATATGGGACACGATCCTGTTCATGATCAATATAAAGTGGTTTGCATAGCTGCAAGAACAAGTCACGAAGTTGGTCTGTACACGGTCCTGTCAGAGCATTGGGTCTTTTTACTAGGAGGAGATGGAACAACTCGATGGGAAAAGATATCATGCGGATGTCCACCACATGTTCCTTTAAAACAGGTATTGAATATCAATGGTCGTATGCATTACCTCGCTCTGGCTCATATGGATCTTGTGCTAGTGATTTTCGATATTAACTCTGAAGAAATTAGTGTACGCCAAGTACCTGAAGGTATCTTGTGGCGTGATGATACTGGTCTTATAGAATACGGTGGAAGTGTAGCTCTTTTACATTATCCCAATCTTGAAACACAAGGTGTGATAGAACTATGGGTTATGGGAGATGAAGAGAATAATATGTGGAGGAGTAAGACTTTGGTGTTGCATTCTTTTCAAATGCACATGGTCAATAGGATTGGTCGTCTAAGGGTCCATGGTACAACACGAAAAGGTGAGGTTATCTTGGAACCTATAGATCAAAAGCTTTTCTACATTTTCCTATACGACATACAATATAATTATATGAGAACAATCGAAATCAAAAACACACCAGACGGCCATCGTCTTACCAAACATTGGGGTGTCGTTGGGTGGGATGATGTTGAGAACTTAATCTATCTTTAAGTTCATCTGGTTTGTGCTTTATTTATTTTCTTAATCCATCCGACAAAATGTATTTTACAGTCAAATAAAACAAAAAGGTGGTTCATTAATATCTTAACCTGTTTTTATAAATAATTTTGCATATACTGTATAATACACATGCCCAACACTTGTCTAATAATGTCCGACGTGTGGAGGTAGAAGTGGATTCCGAATTGGTAGTGGGTTTTCAAAGTAATTCATTCACTGTATTTTCTGATATGTTTAATTGTGCCATAGATTACAAAAGACTAGTTAGTCTGGATAATTCATATATATAAAGAAGCTAATCGTCTTGCATATAGATTAGCGAACTACACATTATTGTTGGAGTTAGGATTTCCTTTTCTTGAGTCTTATCGTAAGGTTGTTCAGTCGATTATGTTGGAGAATATAAATGGAGTTGCATTCTGTCGTTTGTAATTTTTGTTAGTTGAATAAATCAGTCCTTCTCGTTCACCAAAAAAAAACTGAAAAAAATAATGTGACATACTCTATTTATTAGACCTAATATGTTTTTGCTTTTCTCACGAGTCACGACATATAAACTTTAATGTTAAAAGATTATGAGACCATGTCAAATCTCCAACTCATGCAATTCCATGCAAGTTCTCTGTATCAAGTACGATGACTTCCCACTCCTTTGTGAGATTTTTTCAAAAGCTTTAAAATCTCCTTAGCTATAGGATTCTTTTGTTTTTTAAGTTTTAAAGAAAAACTTGCAGTTTAAGTTTTTAACAGAAGAACAAAAAGATATATATTATAAAACTAGTAATCAAAATTCTGAGTCTTAGGGATGGGGATAAGAATTTGTGAAAATAGAGAATTAATTAATTCTAATACTCAATCAAGATGGTATATTCTAACAATAATCAAAGTTTTTGGTTTGTAAAATTCCTAACAAAAGTCGCCATAATCTGATACTAGATTAAGACTCGCCCGATGTGCGAATTTTTAAAATTATTAATGAAATTTTTTAAAAATTATTGTAAATAGAAAGTAACTATAAATTATATTATTATTTTTGCGTTAAATAAACTAATTATTTATTCATATTATTTCCAACTTAAAAACGTGATTTCAAAAACTCGCCCAGATATGAATGCAATACTTATTTACAAAATACTTTAGATGCTAAACATCTGTCAAATCATCGTCGTATTAATGACCGTGAACGATTTTACTACCCATTTTACCTCTAAAATGTTTTTAAAGTATGTTATACTATACTGTATTGTTAAATTATGCTCTTGCGAGTAAATACATGACCCGTGACCTGGTAGATCAAATAAGTTAATATCTCATATTTGTCAAGGATAGTTCGAAATTATACGTATATATGAGATAATGTTTGTAGATATTTTTTAATTATATCATTTATAACATACCAGTTTGACATTTATTGATTTTTCAATTAGATAACTAAAGATTTTGTTCTTAACTATTTGCCGATTTTTAATTTTTATGTTTGGAAACTTACTAAAAATATGTAGAAATTAAATCATATAAATATAATCCATTTATTATTTAAAAGTTGGTAATATGAAGTAAAAATCACTTAAATGTGATATATCCACTTATTATTTAGTTTTAATCTTAATAGATTCTATATGTTTATAATCTCAAAATGTAATTTAAGATTTGATAAAAAAAATTATTTGATATTTGATAATACAGTAATGATATGCAAATTGCCAATGGATGAAGATTTATTTTGTTAAGATTGTGTAAAATTAATAAGAAAAAAGAAGTTTGGAATAATCATTTAATTAATTGTTTGATCAAATAAGAAATCATTCACTAATTAAATGAATGATAAATTTTGGAAATAACTATTTTTTTAGGAAATATTCTTATTTTATAGTTAATGATATAGATATTTTAGGAAATATTCCATTATTTTGTTATGAGAATTACTTTAATATTATACATGTAAAATATTGTAAACTGTTTTGATTTAGTAGTTAGTGTGGTACTAAAATATATGGAATCATGAATTTATAACGATCAAACTGTTATGAAGTACTTAGTTTTTTAATTTTATTTTTGGATAGTTTGTAGATTTGAAATCGCATAATCAAATAATAATTTTTTAATTGTCAATTATTTATGTCAAGTGTTAATTATTAGGGTGATTGAGTTAATTCTAATTTCCTGAATAACTAATTTTTAAAGGAAAACAGAATTATTCTATATAATTCAATTTTTTGAGGTTTATGTGATCTAACATGATTATTCGCATGATTTCAGCAGACAAATATTTAATTATTGATTTATTTAAAATTTTAATTTAAAACTTTTAAATAATTTTAAAAAAATTATATAATTTGAAAAAATTGATGAAGTTATGTATATATACTATGTAGATATTTGATTAGTTGATTATTTCATAAGCTAACATATTTTTTTATCTTTTTATTTTTCCTAAAAAATACAATATTTGTTTTTCTTAGATATAGATATTTTTTAATTAGATTTCATTTAATATAAATGATTATTTTTCAAAATATATTAAAACATTAAATTAATATTAGATATGTTTAGATATATTAATGAAAATTTAAGATAAAACAGAGTTTTAAATTAATAAATAAGATAAAAAGCTATCAAGTCAAATATATATATTTTTTTTGTTAAAGGGCCTTTAGTCAAATATTTATAAACAACGTGATCCCCAAGCTAGTTAATAAAGTATTTTTTGCGTAAAGACCAAAACCCTACCTAGGTTAGTCGGTGCGTACATAGTTGTATAAACATTAAGTGCAGCCTCCTTGATTCGATATCTCTCTGATTTTTGATTCAGATTCTCATCTCTCTTGCTCTCGATCGATTTGTGCTTTCTCGTTTCTTTCTCAACTATGTCTTCTCCGTTGCTTGGTCCACCAGAGATCCGAGACTCCATCGATCTCCCAACAGAACCCATCACAGCTTCTGGTCCCAACGACCCATTCATGGACGCAATGGTCTCAAACTTCAACAAATCAACTAAACTCAACGTCAACGCTTCACCACCGATGGGATACACCGAGAATGGATCCGCCACGTACCTCTCCGCAGGCAACCCCTGCCTTGACTTTTTCTTCCACGTTGTTCCCTACACACCCAAGGAATCTCTGGAGAAGCGGCTACACGATGCTTGGGGACACGACGCGTTAACCACTCTCAAGCTTATCTGTAACCTTCGTGGAGTCCGTGGCACTGGAAAATCTGACAAGGAAGGGTTTTACACGGCGGCGTTGTGGCTCCATGGTCACCATCCCAAAACCCTAGCTTGTAACCTCGAGGCCATTTCAACCTTTGGTTACTTTAAAGATTTACCAGAGATTCTTTACAGGATTCTAAAAGGATCTGAAGTCCGAGATAACCAGAAGTCGGAATGGCTCGAGACAAAAGGTGGAGCATCTCGTCGTAGAAGGGCTCGATTCTCTCTGGAAACCTCGACAGCCTCTTATGGTGGTCGTGGCCGTGGAAGGGGCCGTGGTCGTGGAAGGGGTCGCAGTGTTTTTGAAAGCAAACCTGCGGCGGCGAGGGAGCTGAGGGTAGCAAAAGCAGAGAGGAAGAACCAAGAAGAAAAAGCCAGAGCAAGCTTGGATCGCAAGCAAAAGAAGATTTCCTTGGGGAAGGAAGCATTCACAAGATACTCACACGATCCAGAGTATAGATTTCTCCACGAACGTGTGTCTGATCTATTCGCAAGTCAACTAAAGAGTGACCTTGAGTTTTTGGCATCAGGCCAACAAAACGAAATCTCTCTAGCGGCTAAATGGTGTCCATCAATTGATTCTTCTTTTGACAAAGCAACTCTTCTCTGTGAGAGCATTGCTAGGAAGATCTTTCCCAGAGAATCATTCCCGGAATACGAAGGCGTGGAAGAAGCTCACTATGCCTACAGAGTTCGTGATCGGCTAAGGAAACAAGTTCTTGTTCCTCTTAGGAAGACTCTGCAACTCCCTGAAGTATACATGGGAGCGAGTGACTGGGCGTCTCTCCCTTACAACCGTGTTGCTTCAGTGGCGATGAAATCTTACAAGGAGGCTTTCTTGAAACACGACGCAAAAAGGTTTCAGCAATATCTTGAAGATGCGTTTTCTGGTAAAACTACGGTGGCCGCCGGTGCTGTGTTACCTCACGAGATAATAAGAGAGTTAAACGGCAGAGACGGTGGACAAGTCGCTGAGCTGCAATGGAAACGAATGGTTGATGACCTAAAACAGAAAGGTTCTTTGTCGAATTGCATGGCTATCTGTGACGTTTCGGGGTCTATGCATGGTGAACCAATGGAGGTTTCAGTGGCGCTTGGTTTGCTAGTCTCGGAGCTATCAGAAGAGCCATGGAGAGGAAAGCTTATAACGTTCAGCGAAAACCCTCAACTCCATTTGGTCGAAGGAGACTATCTGAGATCAAAAGCAGCATTTGTGAGGAGAATGCAATGGGATATGAACACTGATTTTCAAAAAGTTTTTGATTTGATTCTTGAAGTGGCCGTGAAAGGGAAGCTGAAGCCTGAAGAGATGATCAAGAGAGTGTTTGTGTTCAGTGACATGGAGTTTGATCAAGCCTCGACTTCGAACACTTCGTATAACAACAGATGGGGAAGGTCTTCGTATGATTCGGAGGAGGTTGATGGTTGGGAAACAGATTATGAGGTGATTGTGAGCAAGTACAGAGAGAAAGGGTACGGAGAAGCTGTGCCGCAGATAGTGTTTTGGAATCTGAGGCATTCGAGGTCAACACCTGTGCTCGGAAACAAGAAAGGAGTGGCTTTGGTAAGTGGCTTTTCCAAGAACTTGTTAGAATTATTCTTGGAACATGATGGAGAGATTGATCCCCTAACGATCAAGGAGGATGATGATATATCTAAAGTTGGAGAGATTGATCCCATAATGATCATGGAGGCTGCTATATCTAAGGATGAGTATAAGTCGCTTGTTGTAGTTGATTGATTTCATTTCAGAGATGTGTAGACTTTGTTACATTTGTTGTAAATATGAAGCTTGAAGAAATTCATTCCATTACCACATCTTTTGTTTTATTTTCTTTCAAGTTTGAAAATGTAAACCGAGCTTAGTGCAAATCAACCAACCTTGCAAACGTAACTCCTAAATCAATCTTCAATAATTCATCATCTTCAATCGATCGCTACGTTATAATCTATCAGTTAATAACTACTTAAGATTTCTGTATTTTCCCTTGTTTTCTATCACTTGTTCAATTATGTTTCTTGCGTTGTCGACTTGCTAAGTCACATTGTCAAAAAATAATTAAAAAGAACATGATTTTCTGTGGACAGGTCATCAACATAGATGGTAAATTAAAATTGTATTTTTTCTCTAATTATTTCTTAATTTGGCAAAGTCATATAGTATTTGTTTAATAATGGAAAAGTTAGTAGCCAACATTTCTCTGTAAAATTAGGTTCTGTTTTGAGGTTGTCTTCCTCAATATTGTTTCTTTCCAAATACCTCTCTTTTTCTTCTTGTTTCTGTTATAACCTATTAAAACTCTTACATAAAACAGCAAAACTTAAACTGTTTCTGGTTTGTATAGAACTATTGGGGTAATTTCTATGTTCTTCATATAAAAACCTATCGAAAGTTTTGAGAATTCTATGTATAATTTGTTTGTAAGAGAAGTTTAAGAAGAAGAAGAACAAGAGAATCTTCAGAAAAAATGAGTTGTTTCTCTTGCTTCTCTTCAAAAGTTTCGGACAAGGAAGGTTCTTCCATGCCTGCTCCTTATAAGCAACCAAATACACCTAGTAAGCTCTCTCGTCAATATTCTTGACAATGTACGTGCACGTTCGCTTTTGTCTAAACTCTAAATCTTTTGTTATGTTATGTAATTGTTCTTATAGAGAGAAAAAGAAAAGAAGAGGTGGCTAATAATACAAACGTGCCATCAAACAATATTGGGGCAAAGATTTTCTCGTTCCGTGAGTTAGCCACCGCGACAAATAATTTTAGACAAGAGTGCCTCATTGGCGAAGGAGGGTTCGGTCGGGTTTACAAAGGAAAGCTTGAGACAGGACAGGTCGTGGCAGTGAAACAACTTGATAGAAATGGATTACAAGGACAAAGAGAGTTCTTGGTTGAGGTTTTAATGCTTAGTCTTCTTCATCATCCTAATCTTGTGAATCTTATTGGTTATTGCGCTGATGGTGACCAAAGACTTCTTGTTTACGAGTACATGCCTCTTGGATCCCTTGAAGATCATCTCCTCGGTAAATCATCATATCTCTCAATCAAAATTTCAATTTCTTACTAAGATAACTAAAATTGGTTTGATGTTTATATTAAAACAGATCTTGAGCTGGACCAAGAACCACTAGACTGGAACACTCGTATTAAGATTGCTTTAGGAGCTGCAAAAGGACTTGAGTATCTCCACGACAAGGCCGATCCTCCAGTGATTTATCGAGATCTTAAATCGTCAAATATATTGCTTAACCAAGAATACGTTGCGAGATTATCTGACTTCGGTTTAGCAAAGCTAGGTCCTGTCGGAGACACACTACATGTGTCTTCCCGAGTTATGGGAACTTACGGTTACTGTGCTCCTGAATACCAAAGAACCGGCCACCTTACAGTTAAGTCAGATGTCTATAGCTTCGGAGTTGTATTGTTGGAACTTATATCCGGAAGACGAGTGATCGACCCTATGAGACCTAGTCATGAACAAAATCTAGTTACTTGGGTGAGTTACTTTATATATGATTTATATACTAATGGCTTACCAATGTAGACACTAATTAACAATTTTACAACTATGGTTTAATTAGGCACAACCGATATTTAGAGATCCGACTAGATTTTCACACCTAGCTGATCCATTGCTACGAGGCGATTACCCGGAAAAGAGCTTGAACCAAGCTGTAGCTGTAGCCGCGATGTGCTTGCAAGAAGAACCTACTGTTAGACCACTAATGAGCGACGTTGTTACAGCCATGAGCTTCCTTGGTGCACCCTCCGATTTCTCCACTAATGGCCCTAACCATTTGCAACAAAGTCGATCCAAGAATGATTATCACGATGCAATTCAGTGGGATTCAAGTCCCTAGATAAGATAATTCGCAAATGTAGACGTTTTTACATTAACATTAATTACAATTCACAACTTATGTTTCTTTCATTTATTTTTTACATATGATACAATACATGTATTTAGGCGAAAATTAATGAAAATAATATATATTTTTATTTTATTTTACAAGAAAGTATAATCATATAAAAAAAAGATCATGAAGAATCTAACTAAGCTAAATTTATTTATATCACAAATTAAATCATATCTTAATATGTTTTCGATTAATTTATAGTTTTTATTTGTGATTTTTATTTCTAATATAACAAAATAAATAAAAACTGATTCAAAACCTAAATTCTTTCAAAAACTAAAGATATATAAGTGCTTAACTAAAACTTAAATCTAAACCAAAACCCAAAATTATATCACAAAATAAAAAAATCGGAAAACAGAAAATATCTAAATATAGATTCTCAAATCAAATTAAACACCATTAACACATTTTCAACAATAAATCTCTACCCAATTTTTTTTTTAATTATACTTATTTAATACGTGGGAAATACTACCAAAAAAAATAAAATTTCGTGAGAAACATTTAATAATATTTAAGCCCTTATCTAAAATAAAACAATTCCTATATCTCACAGAACATACAGTAATTATGGTTTTAACCTAAAATAAATCGAAGAAAAAAAAAAAAAAAAGTGCGGCGGTGGATTCAGGCCCTTGCCGCAAAAGCAAAAGCATCTCACCACCGTTTTATAAACATCTCAGATCTCTCTCTCTCTCTCTCTCTCCCCTATCTTCTCTTCTGATAACAATGGCCGAACCTATAGCTAATATCACGGCGAAGAACGACGAACCACCGGAAGAAGAAATCTCCGATCAGTTTCTCTGCTGCGTTTGCCTGTAAGCTTTTTTTCTCTTTTCTCAAATTTTTTTGGTTCGCCTCTTGCAATATCTCCCTAAATTTTGTTAGCAATTAGGTTAATTGTTAGGTGAATTTAGAGTAGTTAATTCGAAAAAAAATAAAAAAAATCTCATGATGCTATTGTCTCCCCCGTTGTTCTGAGTCCGACGATATCGAGATTGTTGTCTCTGCGACGATTTTAAGATTTTTCAGAGCTTCTTAATCTCCCCTGTATCGTAAATCGTATAGCTTAATTAGATTTTGAATGATTGAATTAGCCATAGGTATCTAATTCATCAGGTTTAAGATCTGTTCGTCATTTTTTTAGCACTGATTTGTGTTGTCTTACTGGGGTTTTTGTGTTGCTTCTTGTGCAGGGAACTTCTTTACAAACCAATTGTGTTATGTAAGTTGACTAAGTCGTAAGACACTCTCAAGTCTCTACCATCTTTTGTTTTTTTGTTTAATTCTGTTTTAGTGACTTGGTTTCTAATGCTTATTTTGTTGGATGGTGATGTAGCTTGTGGTCATCTATCATGTTTCTGGTGTGTGCATAAGTCAATGAATGGCATTCGCGAGTCTCATTGTCCGATATGTAGGGATCCGTATGTTCACTTTCCTTCTGTGTGCCAGAAGCTTCATTTTCTGCTGAAGAAGATATACCCGATCGCACATAAGAAGAGAGAAGAACAAGTTTTGGGTGAGTCTTTGCTTATATGTTTGTGCTCGGTCAAAATTTTGATTTATCATGTGCAAGTGTTATTGTGTAGGTGTCAGTTTTATTCATTATAGTTTGTTGATATTTTCAGAGGAAGAAGAAGAGCTAGATTGTTTTTCTCCACAGATTGATGTTGTTTCGGATAAGGCTAATGCTAAGGATGAGGCTGTATGTAGTGGAGATTCTCTAAATATCTCTGGTAAGTGTATTACACAGATGGTGGAAGAGTGCTCAAATGCAGCGAAGTTATTATCTAATTCATCAAGTGTAGGTGACAGTTCATGTATCCCCAGCAATCAAGAACCCATTGATGCACGAAGTCATAATGCTCATGAGGATGACTTTCTTAAGAATAACAATGCCAGTAAGCAAATTTTGAAAGAGGATTTGCTCTGTTCAGCATGTAAGGAGCTGCTCATGCGACCCGTGGTTCTCAATTGTGGGCATGGTATCATCTCAGATTGCTTTTGATAAATATTTTAACTTTCCACTCCTTGAGAATATCACCTTAAAATTTTCAAATGTGTTATTTTTTTTCCTAATGTTCTTACAGTGTATTGCGAAGGATGTGTGGTAGATATGGCTGAAGAAAGCGAAAAGATCAAATGTCAAGAGTGTAATGTTCGTGACCCTAGAGGATTTCCAAAAGTTTGTTTGATTCTTGAACAGCTTATGGAAGAAAATTTTCCTGAAGAATACAATTCAAGGAGAAGTGGTGGGATTCAAAAAACTCTTGCCCATAATAGCAAAGGAAGTAAGTCCTACATCTATGCCTTGAACAAATTCTTTTAGTTATCGCTTGTGCTCTCAAACCCTATTTCTTGTTATTACATCGAATATGTGAGACTGGACACTAAGACTTTTGTACTCATTTCACTTCATATTTAGATGATCAAAACCACCTCAAAGAAGGCCCATCATTTTCAAATGATAACAACGACGATATGCTTTGGTTGCCAAACCCTGAATCTAATGTTCACTACGGAGCTGGTTGTGATTCTTGCGGGGTAAGTCGATTCTTAATTAAAACCGTTTTTTCATTAGTAAGATTAAGATGATGTGAATCGTTATGTAACTTTGGAGCATGCAGGTGTATCCAATCATAGGGGATAGATACAGATGCAAAGACTGCAAGGAAGAAATCGGGTATGACCTTTGCAAAGAGTGTTACGAGAGTCCATCGAAAGTTCCAGGGAGATTCAACCAACAACACACTCCAGATCATAGGCTTGAGCTTGCTGAGGCTCCTTGGCAGCCAGGGGTTCCTCAGTTTATGATCACAGGCTTCATTCTCGCAAACGAAGATGGGGATACAGATGAGGGCGAGGAGGAGGAGGAGGAGGAAGGGCCTCCTCATGGTTCGTCTAATGAGTCATCAAACACAGAATGAAAAATAGCAGTCAAGTATTAGTTCATATGCTTTCAACTTTGTGTTTGCGTTACTATTTATTTTTATATTTTTTTTCACATAAGTCTTATGGTTTTGAACATTTTAAACTTAAGTCTTTATTTATTTATAAGCGTAACAAAATGATTTGATTTTGTTTTTTCTCTTTTAATATGTTTGTGTGTGTATTATGCAAGAAAATATTTGTCATGTACAAGCTTTGTATATTTTTGCTAATTTAGACCAACATTATCAATGGGTTTTAGAGAGTATGTTAGGGTATTAAGGTTATAAAAATAAATCAAAATTGATTAATTTTACTAAGATACTTGAGTTGGGTATGTTGGAGAAGGATTCTTTTTGTGGGTTAAGAGACGCCACGTGGCGCAATCGGATTGGGTAAGTTTTTTTTTTTAATTTTTTAATTTTTTTTGGAGAATGATTCTTTTGGTGGGTTATGACATTATAATTTTTTTTTTTTTAATTTTTTTATTTTTTTTTGTAAACCATTTATTATGACATTACTATAATTTCTATGAATTGGGTAAGTTGATAATTATATTATGACATAACAATTTTCAAATTTAACTATGAATTTGATGAATCGATGTTAAGAAAAACCCAATAAAATTAGCCATACATGAAAAACACAAGTCAATTTTCTTATATTACAAATTATAAATTTATTTATTTTTTAAAAAAAATCTAAAATACCCAACTTAAGATCCTACCAATAAACACATCTCAAAACTAAAAATAAAATAAAAACTCTTAAACTCTACTTTTTCAAATTTAATACTAAATTAATACTAACATACCCTAACTAACATCTTATAGCTCTTAGTAGTAGCTGAATCAAGGAGTGATCGGTGAAAGATTCTTTCCTCTGAGTGGGTGTGAAGGCAGCTATGATGTGATTGGTCCGAGTGTGTGTGTGGGACTTTACAACTGCTTCTGGCTTCGGAACTCGTTTCTCGGGTTCTGTCTTTTTTTCAAAAACACTTTATTATTAAAAAGAAAAAAGGAAAAAAAGAAATAAAATAATATCCGTACGCGCGTGTTGTGATAACAGTTCTTTTTTTTTTTTTTGGCGCCCTGAAAAAAAGGGCGGGAGGACGTGAAGAGTGTTTTTATTGCAGATCCTTTTAATTTTGTTTTGTTTTTTACCTTTTGCCTTTTATTTTTTTTTCTACTGATTTTTTTTGGGGATTCGGTAAGCGTCGAGATCTGAGCTGTTTGATGATTGACGAGAGAGTCATCACACGTGTGTGTGTCTTCTCGTTTCTCTGTACGGTTAGATTTGTTTTACCATATTTAGTTTCATGTGGCTTTTAAACTGATAATTGTGTCTTCAATTCGTGTTTGGAGTTTGAACTAAGGAGTTAATTCATCATGCGTGGGATAACAAAATTACATATTCGATAATAAAATTACAAAAGCAAACAAAAAAATCATGAGAACTATCGAAAGCTTTTGAGGGTTTTTAATGCAATTTACCGTAATGAATAAACCTCTCGATCTTTGTATATAAAAAGCACGAGGGCAAATGGGTGTCTTGATCGACTCATCACCTTGTTGTGTTTCACGGGCTATGATCGTATCAACTATCACGTAACGGTAGAGTTAATTATGGCAACACGATTCATGTCTCAGAAACAAGAACGGGCAAATCCATTAAAGTAGTTGACAAGGGAAAATAAAAATAAAAATTTAAAGTTTGTTTGCCAAAGTAAGTCCACAAAGGAAAACAAAAACGTAGAAAACCAAATTGACTTTTATATTTACATTTTATATGTAGATTTCAAATTATGAGCAAGTCAACTTTTTAAGAAGCAACTAATCAAAAAAGATAAAGGTTCTTTTAAGATGATACATAAACTAGTTAGATCAGATAAGGAATCCAATGCTAATAGATCCAAATCAAGTGATCAAGCCAATGATGTTGATTCATAAGACACTTGTTTACTTAAAGAAAAAAAAACAAATGATACGTCAAAATGTATCTGCATACAATTAATGTGTACGTTTCTTTGTCAAATAGTTGACTCTTTTTTTTCTCTTTCGAACCAATTACACGAGTTTGTACAAATCTAACATTTGACTTGTCTATCAAATGAAAAAAGTTGAAAAAATGGATACAAATTTATTTTAAATCAAAACAAATCTGATATATACATAATAATATAGCCATCTTAATATTTATTGTTTTTACATTTTAGGTGTTGGATTCTTTGTGTTCAAAGAGGATGGTCTACAAAAATATTTAATAGTACTTATAAGCTTAATGATCTTTTATTCTCAAAAGAACTTGTTACTTTCGGCAACATTTTATTATATATGCTCCAACAAACCACTCATTAATCATTATAGGCGAGAGGATGAATACGCCTTTCTTAATTATACAAAAAGGAACTTTATACATATAAAAATGTATAACATAATTGCTAACATATATTTTTAAAAATGTTCTTCTTCTGAGGTCTACTAATTGATGTTATTTTACAGTTGTAACTAAGAAAAAATACAATGTTAAAAACATAGTTTGAAAAAGTAAGTTAAGTCCATGTTGTAAAATCAGGGAAATAGAACATTTTAGGTCACATTCAAGTCTCTTAAAATTAATACAGAAAATTAATAATTAAATTTTGATTATCTCTTACAATTAAATTCCATAAAAAGAAGAAGGTAAGCATATATGCATATGACCATAGTGCGAGAGTTTTTAGGTTTCGAATGAATATTGCAAACAAAACAGTCTAATTTAGTCCATTTTATTTTTGAGATCGATGATAATTTATCCTAAACAAAATGACATAATCTATCAACGATTTAGGTTATTCTAATTTTTAGACCGATAATAATCTATCCTGCACCAAATTTATTTGTATATAGAAACGGTTTGAAGTTGATCCGCGACAAATTTCATTACTACCACGGCAAACCATTCGAGCCGAACACTAAAGAAAATAAAACCTTAAAAAGTTATATTTTCTTTGTCCGAACTCTCGAACCCATCACATGGTGGTGACTAGTTTAGCTACAAATGGCCAACCACTTCAATCTGTTTTCCCCAATTTTTTCTTTTTCTTTTTAAATAATTATTTCCATTGTCCTTTTCAGTTTTCACTTTTTTTTTCTCTCAGATTAAAAATCACTTCTTTCTCCTTTCTTCTTCTTCTTCATTGTTTCCCTCCTCTCTCTCTCTCTCGACCGGAAGATTCAGTAAAATCACCACCTTCCCGGAGATGGGAAAATACATCAAGAAGTCAAAAATCACCGGAGACATCTCCGTTAAAGACATCTCTCACCCAACCACTCTAGGTTTCCGTACTAGAGCCGCCGCCAAAAACCTCTTCCTCCATCGTCTCCGTTCTCATTCCGACCAAGCAGACTCCTTAAACTACCTCCAGCTCAGGAGCCGCCGTCTCGTGAAGCTTCCATTACCCTTCAGTGCCAAGAAACAGCAACGGCTCATAAGTGTCGACCAATGTCAAACGAGAAACCCTAGGGCTAAAAATGTCCCGGCGGAGACGAAGACGGCGGCTCTGGTGACTGAGACGGAAGAAGATTGTAATTTTGGAGAGAAAAGTTTCGATTTTGAATCAGAAAATAGGTAACTTTTTAAGTTTTAACTCTGTTCTCATCTCAAATATGATAGAGAGAGATGAGATTTGAGTTTTTGATGTGTTTGTTCTACAGGAGTAAGAGAGAAAGAGACTCAAAAGCTTTACAAAGTGAGATTGAAGACTTCTTTGCACACGCAGAGCAACAACAACACAGATTCTTCATTCAAAAGTAGGATTTTTTGAGTCTTTTGAGTTTCTTGATTTTCTTGAAATTGAGTTTTAGAGTTTGGTCTGATATTGGGGGAGTTATGGTTTTGTTTGCAGGTACAACTTTGACATTGTCTCGGAGAATCCATTGCCAGGGCGTTACGAATGGGTCAAAGTGGCGCCATGAAATGAAATGCGTCGTTTTGGATGTAAAGTTGTGTGCTTTAGGAAACATCTGTGTTGGAACAGAGGCGATGAAGTTACACACAGACTAACTGTGGGGAGTTTTTTCTAGGGTTGGTGTATAACTTGTTAGTCAAGAATAATGTAATGTTAATCTGTCTCAATTTGCAACTAAATAAAGTCTAATTTTACTGGATTATGTCACAATCACGGTCACACTGCCAAGTTACTTGAATTAGTAGTATTGGCAAAATCTCTTCTTTGTTCTTTAGCTACTTCTTGAAGGTCTCTGAGTTTGTGGTTCTGCATCAGTGTTAACTTTACAAGTCATAAACTTTGGATTCAAGTTGCAAATGAAGCTAACTCGTCTGAACAAAAACCTTTAGTCACAGGTTTTATCTCTGTCTTCTTTATTGATACTCTACTCTCATTGGCCTTTTCACACGTGGGTAATTGTACCAATCTCACAGGTTGCAGTGAAATGCTGTGTTTAGATTTCACCTCTCTCTCTTCTTTATTGGCACTGCACTCACTGTCTCGCTTTCTGGAATTATTTCTTCAAAAGTCTAAGTTAGCACCTTTCATGCTAAGGTTAGGTTTCTTGGTTTATGTTAAATATTTCACCTCTTTGGATCTTTAGCTCATCGGATGAATAAAAACAATAAATAATGATGTCTATTCTTATTGCTACAAAGGGTTTAAGAGTCACTGTGTTATGTCTGATACTAAATTCACATGATCATTTACACCTCTGAAGAATCAAAGCCTTCTTGGTTTTGTCACTTTTTAAACACAAACAATATTTACTGATCAAGGCCTGCTTAAACTCCGATGGTTCAGCATCTTGGGTTGGTTTGTGAGCTAAACTGCAAAAGCAAGTCATAGGATGCTTAGTGTGATTTCCTCTAGTTGTACTAAGGAAATAAGTAGTCTGTAATATTACAGTACCTGTCGTGTTCTCTCCCAAAATTTGCTACACAAGCTTCACGGAGTTGCAGGTCCTGTACTCAACCTTTGCTTTGTCTCTGACATTTCAACTTCATATACACCCTTGGTTTCAGAAGTTTTACTGTTTTCCATGGCCATCCTCCTTATTTTAGCCTGTTGGATTGCTAGCACCTCGTATCTGCAAAATAATATCCAAATACCAATCATATTTCCATGAGCATAATGAATAATATCTAAACCCGTATTTCCCATGTTCTATACGCATCTCTTGGTTCCAACCTAAGAACCCATCCCACTATCTCTATGTGAAAGTGGAATCATATACAGATCAACACTACATTTTAACACTTACTAAAGCATTACACATGGAACCATCACAAACGAAATTTAGGAGTAAGAAAGTACTTACTTTGCTACAAGCTTCCTCACAAGCTGGAAATATATCCTCCAAAACTGATGTTCCTTTAAAAGTCGTGGGCATAACTTGAATCTCAGCTGTGAGAGTTCCTGTAACACCGAAATCAATCTTGTTTAGAGCAGTTTTGAAATTACTCTTTAAGATTCGAATAAAACCCAATGTTCCTCCTAATCAACCAAATTCAATTCTACCAACGATTAAAAAAAAAAAAAAATTCATCCTGGACATATATGAGCATTTTTTGCCATATTTTATTAACTTGAGCCTAATCAAATTACAAGTGATTCAAACGAACTATAAGATTTGACACATAAAATCTGATCAGAATCGGATTCAAGTGATATGACACTAGGCGAAGAGCCCTACCACTACCAACATCCATTTAGATATATAGATATATCAGACTCAGAGATACCAAAATTCAAGAAAAACTTCTGAGTTCACTTAAATCAAAATCAATCTTGCTAAGACCTTGAGTAACTTTTAAAACTCTCTATAAGATTCGATCCAATGTTCCGAACTAACCAAACACAAAGTGACAAGCAAAAGACAATAGTTCTGTTATAAGTTCTAAAGAATCATCAACCCACAAACACTGATTTGAATCCAAATTAAATTTCACCATTGGCTCCAAAAGCTTATAGTTGATCATCTGAAGTCTCTATAGCTACCAAGTCCATTCATTTCAAAAACAAAGGTCGATCACCAAAAAAAGAATCAAAATTTCAGAAACAATACCTTCGATTTCGATAATACTAGAACCGCATGTTTCTCTTGCCAATCAGATAAGTCCTTCTTCACATTAGCAGATGAACTCAAGCCATTATCTTCATCTCCCAAAGGATTCACAGACGCTTCTTCCTCTTCTTTTTCATCTGCTTCAGAAAATTTCAACCCAACTACTAAAATTAACTTCAAAAGCAGAAAAATTGAAAAATTATAACAAAATTGGAATCCGAATTCGTAATTAGTAATTACCTTCAAGAGAGAAGTCCTTAAACGTGTCAATGGTGAACGATCTGACATGATCGATTAACTCATCAGTCACTCCCAAAATCTCATCTTTACCTTCTTCGTTAACACTCGATCCATTCACCAAGCTATTCCCATCTGAAGATTTCGTCTTCTCTCTGAAAATACTTCGTCGGATCCTCGAAGCTATATTCATCGCTGATCCTGTGAAGAAGAAGAAGAATCTGAAAATCTCCAATGCCTTAGTAGAAAAACGAAAAGAGTTTCAAATTTTTATTGGGCCTGGGCCTAAAAAGGCCCAATAAATTAGGGTTTAGAGAAGCTGAAACCCTAACTTCGCCACCATATATAAATCCGCCGCTGAAGTGAAGCCGTGGTCTTTTCGAAAGAGCGGAAGCTAAGGAGAGAAGCAAATCGAGAGTCGAGAAGATGGTGTCTGGGTCAGGGATATGCTCCAAGCGTGTCGTGGTTGACGCACGTCACCACATGTGTGGTCGTCTCGCTTCGATCATTGCTAAGGAATTGCTCAATGGACAGAGCGTTGTCGTTGTCCGATGTGAGGAGATTTGTTTGTCTGGTGGTTTGGTTCGTCAGAAGATGAAGTACATGAGGTTTCTTAGGAAACGCATGAACACTAAGCCTTCTCATGGTCCTATTCATTTCCGTGCTCCGTCCAAGATCTTCTGGCGTACCGTTCGTGGGTTCGTAATCTAATCTTATAGTCTTTAGTTTTCTTATAGTGAATATTGAAAATGATTTTGGATAGTTTGTTTTATTATGATTCAAATTATGACATTTTGTGTAGCTTGTTAGAGTTTGTATCGATGATTGCTAGTTACTATGTCAGCTTTTGATCTTTGTGGAATTAGTCTGTGTTAGAAATGAAATGGTGATTTTGAAATGTGATCATGTGTTAGTGAGATAATGTTTTGTGAAATGTGGTTTTGGTCATTTACAGGATGATTCCACACAAGACCAAGCGTGGTGCTGCTGCTCTTGCACGTTTGAAGGTTTTTGAGGGAGTCCCACCTCCTTATGACAAGGTCAAGAGGATGGTCATCCCCGATGCTCTCAAGTAAGAGATTCTGAAACTTTCTCCTATCTTATAAGCTTGTGTTCAATGTGTCTTAGCTCTATCAACTGATTTCGTTTTTTCTTTGTTCTTGCTTAGGGTTTTGAGGCTTCAAGCTGGCCACAAGTACTGCTTGTTGGGCCGTCTGTCTTCTGAGGTTGGCTGGAACCATTACGATACCATTAAGGTTTGTTCCTTTTCTTTGTTTCTTACGTTTCATAATATCTTAATTTCTGTGAATGTAAAGTTTATGGAACATATAGTTGCTTCATTCAATTTTCTTTTGAGCTGTTGTATAGCCCATTATAGTTGATAAAGTAGTTTTGCTATGGAAATTACTCTTGCATTGTTTGATTGCAATCTTAAATATGTAACCAAGATAAGATGGTCTGGTGGAACTTGTCCAACAAGCATGTATCATTTAGTTATGAGGCCATTATCTCACTTCATTTGAGAAGTTACTGGGGATTTTAACCTTTGGTTTGATGGTTTTGCAGGAGCTTGAGACGAAAAGAAAGGAGAGGTCACAAGCTGTGTATGAGCGCAAGAAGCAACTCACCAAGCTCAGGGCTAAGGCTGAGAAGGTTGCAGAGGAGAAACTTGGATCCCAGCTCGATGTCCTTGCATCAATCAAGTACTGAAAGTCAATCCACAACAACTATCATTTGGTGTTGCTTTAAGTCATTTCTTGGAACTCGTTTTGATTTATTTTGTTTTGATAGTATTGTAGACATACTGGAATGTGTAAACGTTTTGGTTATTTTGGTTGTTTTACACTATCTTATGGTTTATCTTTTGATATTTCACTTAATCACCGCTTACTCCTTTATTTCTATTCTCTATTGTGAGACTACGAAAATGGTAAAACGTGAGTCATGAATTGGTGCAACATCAATTAACCTAGACCTTGGTAATACCAAGGTGCAATATCGTAGGGGCTAGCTCCGCTTGTTTTTCATGGCCAGTCTAGTACAGTTTTTTCAATCCAACCGGGATTAATATTTTCAGTGGCTGACGAATGTGCAACACGCGTAAGAACTTTTCTTTGGGAGAGTTACAACATCAAAGGAGGGATCTGTCCGAGGAAGGGCTTACATCTAATACTTAGTTCTTTTTAGTAGAACATCTAATTACTTAGTTGGTGAGGCATTAGTTCCCCTTAGGTTTGGTCTCTACGCGTCCATGTCGACCCATCCTAGTGTTTTTTTCACAGCTACAACTCTCTATTAGTATATATGTGACCGACCTACCAATACCATACCTCTTCAACTAAAATTGTAACTTTGTCTATTTGTTAGTTGCATCATTATGTTAACGTTTTAAACTATCCTTAAAGATACCATACTCAAAGTTAGAGTACATGTAATAATGTTAGGTAAACCTATATCTTCACGTAACTTTGTATTTTCTTAGGATTTTTTTTTCCATCTAAAGGTATATTATGATTATGAATAGAAATTTTCAGTTGAATTACAAGAACCCATTAGAAAAAATAAAAAGTCAACGAAAAACAAATCCCAATTACAAAGGAAACCAATACCTAAACAAGAAAAGTAAAAGTCCAAATTGAAAACTCAAATCAGAAACCTCATACGAAAAAGAGAACTATACGAAAATACGAGAAAGTCTAAACTGATAAAGACTGAACTTAAGACCTGAAGTTTTAATCAAATCATTATCTAATATTATTATAGATTCCTCAGAGCCTTATTTAAAAAAATTCATGTAATTAAACTTAAGTATCATCAAATTAAAAATAACATTTTGGTCATGACATATAATAAAAAAAACAAGTTTTTATTCTTTCATATGCAAAGACCATAAAATTGATCAACTCACGTGGTCTACCTGTCCCTCTCCCTTTTTTGGAACCTAAAGTTAGCTACGTGGCACTTCCTTACTTCCGTATTAAATATTAACGTCGGCACTTACAACGTGTCATTCTCCCATTGGGTATGACGTGGAAATAACTATTCTGTCGGTGGACCTACCATTAATTAAAATAACTTAAATTAAACCGAACTAAACCGTTAACAGTTAGTAAAAATTATGGTTTGGTTTGGTTTAGCTTAGCTTAGCGCCTACGCGTGACCGTAACCACCGCTACAAACAACAACCAAACGGACGTTTAATCTCGCCGTTAATAGTAGTTAAGTTAATTTAACTAACCGTAACGTTTTATTTAATTACACTCCAAATCTCGAAGCATTGACTAGAATAATTCTAATGTTGACTGATATAAAATCTCCGGTTTAATCCGGTTTACTAATCGGTTTTTTTGCTGTTGTTGTTTGTTTCTTCTCCAACTAAGCAAGCTATAAAAATGGCGAATATAACCATCGCGAAGCTTTCTCTCTCTTCTGTTTTGTTTCTTCTTCTTCTCTGCATTTAATGTTGGTTTGAATACGACGCTTCGTCTTCTTCTTTCTCAAAGCTACGTTCCGAGGAAAACTTTATACGTATTTGTATATAAAAGATTTGACTTTGTAATCTGATCGCGACGTTTTTGTTTCGAGAGAGAGAGAGAGAGAGAGAGAGAGAGAGAGAGAGAAGGAAAAAGTGAGCTTTTTTTTTTTTTGTGTTTTTTGGGTTTTTCTTTACCTAAATCGGGGAATTTTAAAGAGAGAGTTTTGATTTTTTTTTGATACTCCGCGATTTCGTGAGATCGCTTATTAGGTAAGAAAAGAATTTGGATACGAAAGATGTGAAATTTTGAAATCGTTTCTGGGTTTTTTTTTTTTGTTTTGTGTTGGTCTGGATCTTTAAATCAGGTGTGGGAAGGAAAAAAACGAAAAGGATCGATTTTTATTTGATAATTCTCGTTTCTTGATCTTGGGTTTTGATTAAAATTTACGATTTTTTCATATAAATCTGAGTTGAATCTGCATTTAAGGTTCTCACATTTGTTTTTTTTTTTTTCAATTGTCTCTGCAGCTACAGAGGTTTATACGTTTATACAAATGCCAGGTAAAATTTAGATATTGTTTTGCAAAAAATCTGATTGGTTTTGATTTGGTTTTTAAAGTGTTTTTGATAATCTATTTTGATTTTGTTGTTGTTTTTAGCTTTAGGTGAGATACTTTTGGTTCCAGAAACTGATAAAGGAAAGAGTAAAGACGTTGAGGTTTCAGAGGATGAGAAGATCACAAGAGCTCGTTCTAGATCTTTAAAGAAGAAAGCTATCAAAGCTTCGAGTAAATTGACACATAGTTTAAGGAAACGAGGGAAGCGTGTTGCTGATCAGTATGCACCAATTGTGATTGAGGATGTGAGAGATGAAGAAGAGGAGAAAGCAGTGAATGTATTTAGAAAAGCTTTGGTTTCTCTTGACTTGCTTCCAGCTCGGCACGATGATTATCATACAATGTTGAGGTAATACTGGAGGATCATGTTAGATATGTCAGGGTTAGTAAAGTGTGTCGATTTGTCATGATCAGGTTTTGAGGTTTGGTGTTGCAGATTCTTAAAGGCGAGGAGATTTGATATTGACAAAGCTGTTCAAATGTGGGAAGAAATGCTAAAGTGGAGGAAAGAGAATGGAGTTGATACTATAATGCAGGTTAAGGATAAGAACCTTCCTTGGAGTTGGTAAAGATATTGTTGTTTATGAGTGCTGCAAAACCTTATAAAACTGAGAATTTTTTTCTAAGAATATTTCCACATGGGTTTTGCTGTTTTCCTAACTGGCAATGATGACTTATTCCTTCAGGATTTTGTTTATGATGAATACGAAGAAGTACAACAACACTATCCACATGGTTATCATGGTGTAGATAGAGAGGGCCGGCCTGTCTACATTGAACGGCTTGGTAAAATTGACCCCGGCAAGCTAATGAAGGTTACCACATTGGAGCGTTTCTTGAGATATCATGTACAGGGTTTTGAAAAGACCTTTTCTGAGAAATTTCCAGCCTGCTCGATCGCAGCAAAGAGGCACATAAATTCGTCGACAACCATCATAGATGTGCATGGAGTGGTTTGTACCTCTATATTCCTTTCTCAACGTTCTGTTTCAGTGCTACCAGAATTTATGTCACATCCTATGTTCTTAAATAATACTTTAATGCAGAGCTGGATGAGCTTTAGAAAATTAGCTCAGGACCTTGTAATGCGAATGCAGAAAATTGATGGTGACAACTATCCTGAGGTGGGTGTATGAAAACTATTTGAATGGCAACCTTTAGACTTTTCACCAATGAAGAACACTAACATTGGTTTTGGTTCATTGAAGACAGACATTGAATCAGATGTACATTATTAATGCTGGAAGCGGATTCAAGCTTATATGGAACACAGTGAAAGGCTTTCTCGACCCTAAAACTACTTCTAAGATACATGTATTATACCTTCCACATATTTTTCTTATACAGGACTTTTCAGATGTTTCAACTTGACCAACAATTTACATTGGTTATTTGCACAGGTTTTGGGAAACAAATTTCGCAGTCACCTTCTTGAGATTATAGATCCAAGGTCAGAATTTCTACTTTTATCTGTGGCAATTCAAAATAATCTAGTTTGGCTTTGTTGTTTGGAGGCTTATAAAGTTAGCCTCTGTTATTTTCTTTACACAGTGAGCTTCCCGAGTTTCTGGGAGGAAGTTGTTTGTGTGCAAATGAGGGTGGGTGTATGCGATTCAACAAGGGGCCTTGGAATGACCCGGAGATAATGAAAGTATGGTCCTTTTCAGCTCATCTTTATTTCTGTAGATGATTTCTCTTGAAAAACATTATCTAAGAAAATCTCTGTTTCGCATCATACTTGTAGTTGGTGCGCTCGAGAGATGCAATGTACAAAACAAAAGAACAAGGGATCCTGGAGAACGGAGAAGTAGCTAAATTATTTGCTTTACGGGTGAGTATTAGTTCTAGTCAAGTTGTAACAGTGATTGGCTTCTGTTACATTCTGTATTAATATCACCTTCCCATTTCTTGCAACAGCATGTAAATACAGATATATCGTCACCTGATGGAGGACAAGTTAGGGAGAGAGAATCACATTCTCAACATGTTAGTTTACTGTATACTTGGTGGTGCTCTTTTGTATGTTCATGGTCTTATATTGTCAATAGATGATAACCACGTATTCTTATGTTCCAGGACAAACGTGCTCAGTTGAGCAATCAAGCTGAAGCAGTTGGTGTTAGGAGAATGGAACAGTCTGATTCAACAGGTAGGTGAAAGGCACTCTGTGTGCTCATTTATATTTTAAATAAGATTCTACTAATCTGTACAACACTTTCCTGCAGACCAATTACCCAGTAATCTGACAGTAGAAAGGAACCCTCTTCAGAAGGTTGCAAGTTTGTTGGCTCGTTTTATCTTCCAACTTCTTGGCAGTCTATGTCTCATGTTCCGGATCTTGGGAAGACTTGTAAATAAGCAACCAGAGAACCAATTGAGACCGGAGTTAAGGGTTTCGGTCCCGCAGCAACATGTTTCTACTCCTCAGGTGCAAGGAAGAGAGTCAGTTCATCCATGTTGGCTGAGGTTGCAAAATTTGGAGACCATGGTCACAGTTTTGTGTGATAAACCCTCAAGCATTCCTCAGGAGAAAGAAGATATACTTCGTGATTCATTAGACCGCATCAAATCCATTGAGCAAGATTTACAGAAGACAAAAAAGGTAAAACTATCGACCCATTCTCTAATTTTCTCAAGATCTATATGTCTCCAAGCATTGACTTAACTTAGGATTTAATGTTGTAACAGGCACTCTTTTTGACCGCGTCAAAACAAATTGAACTCGCTGAGTGTTTGGAAAACTTGAAAGAGAGCAGCTCAACGGTAAGGGCTTAGTCTTCTCTTATGT